TTTCTAAAGCAGGAAATAAGACAATTCAGTTTTGTTATTTTTTCCAATCTGTTATATACCTCCTCCCACCCATTAACATTAACTAAATGTATGATTCATTTGTTAAAAACAAATACTGAGTTCCAGCTATGTGTAATGCTTGTACGGGCAGAAGATTAGCAGTGAACATAGAGGTAAAAACCTTCCCACTCTGCCAAGGGGCGGGACAGGAAGGAAAGGGAAGACAGAGACGTGGAATATGGAGTATTCATGTTGTAAGTGCTAAGGAGAAGAAATGAAACAGGATAAGATGCAAAGGGCCGTGGTGAAGGCAATGGGGAGGTTTCCTTGAAAGAGGAGCTCAGCGTAGTCTCCATTTGAGTTAACCTGGAAATGAGCAATGAACAGTCTGGAAAGAAAGACTAATAGAGCAGCCAGTACAGAGCTCTCTGCAGAGAGAGAGGGAGGACCTGTGTTTCAAGGAGTTGCAGTAAGAAGGCTGGTGTGGTTAGAGTGATGGTCAGTCGGCGAAGAGTAGTACAAGATGGCATCATAAAGCTCAGGGGTTGAATTACCGCCTTGTAGGCCATTGTGAGGACTCCGCTTTTACACTAGGTGAGACGAGAACCCACTGGCGAGTTTTAAGCAGAGAAATAACATGATCTGACTTAGATTTAACAATTCTGCCTCCTTTTCGAGTGTAGACTGGAGGGGGCGAATTAGGAGGCCGCTGCAATAATCTAGGTGAAAGACGATGGCAACGGTGAGAGATGACAGACGGGTGGTGGCAGTGGAGTCATGAAAGTGTGATTCCAGAAACCTCCAAGAGAATTTCCTGCAGATGTGATGTGAGGAGTGATTAAAGAAGAACCAGGAATGACTTTAATGTTGTTGGCCTGAGCAACTGGAAGATAGAGTTGCCGTTTATTGAGATGAGAAGGCTGCCAGAAGAGGAGAGGAAGGTGTGAGTATGTGCGTGTTGCGGGGATGGAGTGAGAGTTGCACCGAAAGCATGAGCAAAGATACAGACACACCAGGATTGAGATGTCAAGCGGGTAGTTGATTTGTGAGATTCAGGGAAAAAGTCCGACCTGGAGAATATGAATGTGCAGTCACCTGTGTGTGCATAGTATTTAAAGCCATAGGGCCAAAGGAGATCATCAAGAAAGCAGATAGAAAAGAGAAGAGGTCCAGTCCTGGGCCCTGGGCTAATACAGTATTCAAAAGGTCAGAGAGATTGTATGTTCTGTTAATTACATATATGCTTGGGTACTATCCTTTATATTTGGGGTTAAGAAACAGCGGGGTGTGGTGACTCATGCCTGTAATCCCAGCACTTTGGGGGGCTGAGGCAGGAGGATTGCTTGACCCCAGAAGTTCAAGAACAGCCTGGACAAAAATAGGGAAACCCCACCTCTACAAAAACTACAAAAAAAAAAAAAAAAAAGCGGTGTAGTGGCACACGCCTATGGGAGGTGAAGGTTGAAGTCAACAGATCACACCCAGTGCACCCATCCTGGGCAAAAGCAAGATATGTCTAAAAAAAAGAAAAAAAAGAAACTGAAGCTAAAATATCACTTACAAAATATCCACATCTAAGTGTGAAGCTGGCAGTGTTCCCAAGGTTTTTGTAAATAAGTTGATTCCAACCTGTTCACTATCGAGATCCCTCTGTGAGACACGCACTGATTATAAACATGAAGTTTGCATAGCATATTCTAAAATGCCCATTAGGTGGCAGAAAAACATTCAGTAAACCACGGTGAGCCAGCTAGTGCCTCGCTCTTGTGCTGGTTCATGCTTTCTCCACTCCCCTCTAGCCTCTCAGAGAGCCCTCTGAACTTAAACACGTGTATGTCTGTTAATGTACAACACTATAATCAAGAAGTACAGAGACTGGTCTTTTCTTCAGAGAGCCAACAGATATCATCAGTCTGTAAGATAATACAGGAGGTGAGCCAGGTGTACAGGGGATGAAGATGTGCTTATGTTTCATTAGGTTTGGAAATGTATGAATTGGACAGTCTTAAGAGGGGTAAATTGACTCTAATGACACTATTAGGCCTAATTTCTAAACTTTTGATATTTAAGCTTTTTAGCTTGGGGCAGGGTGAAGAAGCGTTCAGAAAAGTAGAAAGCAAGAAAGCCCCTTGGAAAAAAAAAGGCAAGGTGTCCCTGCAACTAGCCTGATGTTTAAGCTTTCTGCAATAAACCCAATCACTCAATCACAAGTCTTTTTCTGTTTCGGTTTCAAAGTTTCTTCTTGTCCCACTCTCTTTAGGGCATTGGTCCCCAAACTTGCCTGAACACTGGATGACCTGGGCAGGCTTCAAAAAAATAACTAGTGCCTGAGTTCCACCCACAGAGATTGTGATTTAAGTGGCCTGAGGTGTGGCCTGTCTTAGAAATTATTTAAAAGACCCCCAGATGATTCTCATAACAAAATAATTTGAGAGCCACTGGGCTTAGCTAATGTTGGATGTGTAAATATAGACCTTCCCACAACTCAAACATGTTCCACCCTGTTAGCCATGCGAGAGAACACTCCACGGCAGCATACCCAAGCGCTCTGCATGGCCTCAGCCTACAGAACCCTTAACTCTTAACTTTATCATCTATTGAATAATCCCTAACATCAAAATTTGTACTACTTTCAACACCAAACGTAGCTAATGAAAGAAAAATACAGAGGGATTATGTAAGTTACTATTTGAAAATGTTTTAATTTTCTCTTGCCTGTTATAGAGTGTGCTTTGTTTCTTAGGGCACTGATAATATTTATTTGTGAAATAGTATTATGCTTCACATATTGTTGGTCTTACATACCAAATTAAAATGGGCTTTTTTTTTTTTTTTTTTTTGCTGCTCTTTGGAATCAGAAATTAAATGGTAATACCTATCTACTTCTTACTAAGGCTTTTCTGTGATACACCATCACTAAGTCAGGGAAAACCATGTGTAATATTCAGAAGTCCCTGGAGCAGGGCAGATATCACATCACCTTGCTGTGGATGACAAATGTAACCTTTGGCAAGTCTTTTGCAACTCTGACTTTTGACAAAGGCATTAAGCTTAGCATTGTAGCAATAAGATTTGGTGATTTATTTGTGTGTGTGTGTATAATATATATATATATTCATTCATGTTTGCATTGCCCATAAAATATTTTTTAAATTTGATCTGCTACTCTTCATTTTAATGGATGGCTGATAATCCATTTGCATTTATTATGATTATTGACTTACTTGGAATTATTGCTAATATTTTATTCAGTGTTTCTTTTGATCATGATTTTTCTTTACTGTTGCTTCTTTCTTGCCTTCCATCAGAGTGTTTTTCTTTTTTATTTTCTTCCACTGGTTTTGAAGCTACACATTCTAATTCCATTATTTGTCTAGTTACTTTTCAATTGTTAACCTGCATACTTAGCAACCTATCTTATCCAGCCTATCCCAAAACAATACTTGAAGTCAACTCATATTTTTTTATTATCCAATACTTAGAACTCTATTTTGTCTTTATACTGTCCCCACCAAAATAGTGTTTTTAAAAGTCAATACTTCCTGACATTTCTCATCCTATTTACTAATTTTTTAGCATACATTTATTGCATTTTTTTTCTTTTGAGATAGAGTCTCACTGGGAGGATTGCTTGAACCCAGGAGGTGGAGGTTGTGGTGAGTTGAGATTGTGCCACTGCGCTCCAGCCTGAGCAACAGAGTAAGACTCTGTCTCAAAAAACAAACAAACAAAAACAAAAACAAAAAAATAGGCTGGGCGCGGTGGCTCACACCTGTAATCCCAGCACTTCGGGAGGCCGAGGTGGGTGGATTACTTGACATCAGGAGTTTGAGAACAGCCTGGCCAACATGGTGAAACCCCATCTCTACTAAAATAACAAAAAATTAGCCAGGCATGGTGGCAGGTGCCTGTAATCCCAGCTACTCAGGAGGCTAAGGCAGGAGAATCACTTGAACCCAGGAGGCAGAGGTTGCAGTGAGCTAAGATCACACCATTGCACTCCAGCCCTGGTAACAAGAACTAAACTCCATTTCAAAAAAAAAATTCTTTTTAAGCCATGACAATGGGTATGTCATAATATCTCATTATGATTTTAATTTACATTTCCCTAATGACTAATGAGATTAGTCATCTGTAAATCTTTGGTAAAATCTCTACTCAAATATTTTGACCATATTGTAATTGAATTGTTTACCTTTTACCTAGTGAACTGTAATCATTCTTTACATGTTCTGAAAGTAAGTCTTTTACCAAATATATACTTTGCACATGTTTTCTCCTCTCTGTGAAGTCTATATGCAACCATTTCCTACACTGCTTCTCAATATTTACTGAAATAAGTGAGAAACTTCTGCAAGGCAGTGACTCCTTCCTACTAAAAATTGTGGGTTTTAAAATTAACAAAAGGTAAGAAACCCTGTTGACACTTTTGTTTGAAGACTGAAAGTTCACATGTTCACTACTTATCAAATTGCCTCCATTTTGGTAGAGAACACAACAGTCCTTTCTTGGATTTGAAGAATGGAAGAGGTCACAAGTGTGATTACCTTTGAAATCTCTGTCTTTACTAGCCATTGAAGATAACTAGATAACTCTCAGCTGTGGGTCACTTGCCCTACAAGGTACCCTGTTTTAATTTTCTAGTTGTTTTGTTTCATTATGGAGATAGACGGTTTTCAGCAGTTAGACCTAGAGAAGAGTGTGCCTTCCGAAAAGACTACTCCTAGAAGGATTATCCATTTTGTTGACGGAGACATCATGAAAGAATATAGCACAGAGGAAGAGGAGGAAGAAGAAAAAGAGGAACAAGAGGAGCAGAGCATAAATTCAACACTTGACCCTGTAAGCTTAGTATGTCAATATTAGGGAACATGGTGGGGGAGGTGGTAAATGAATGAGAGATTGAGCCAGATCAAGTTTATAGAAAAAACAGCTTTAAACTAAGTCCTTGGTCTCCTTTTTTGTTTTCTAGATCCATGTGTAGGCAACTTATAATTTTAATCATCTTAGTCTCTTCATCTGTGAGAGAGCAAATGGAACATACTACATACAGAGAGCATTTTGAAATCTCTACATTAAAACAAATCTGCAGTCACCATTCTTATTAATTACTCTATGCTGATTTCTCCTTTTTGCAGTCTAAACTTTCTTGGGGGCCCTACCTACGATTTTGGGCAGGACGAATAGCAAGCACCTCATTTTCTAGTAAGTATTGCTAAGGTTATTTTTTTTTTGTCCTCAATAGATATAAATATTGATAGGCCCTCAGAGTTATGTGGACTTCCAATTGTGTGAGCCACTCCATTGCATCCTGAAGAAGCGAGATCTGGGCTGGGCTTTAATTTCCAAAGGCACAGAACCTCACATCCTGAGGCTGACCCTTCATCCTTTACCAACTCTCATCAGGAAATTCTTTCTTATCTCGACCCAAATTTTATCTACTTTAAAGTTCCTACTTTTCTTTCTTAGAACCATACCAAACTAGGCTAGATGCCTTTTTCATAGGCCCAGAGTTTCAAATATTGGAGAATAATAATCAGTCCTCCCTTAGTTGACTCTTCATCTGAATAAACTTCCAAGTTTAAAACAATAATTATTGCCTGGGTGTGGTGGCTCATGCCTGTAATCCCAGCACTTTGGGAGGCCGAGGCAGGTGGATCACGAGGTCAAGAGATCAAGACCATCCTGGCCAACATGGTGAAACCCCATCTCTACTAAAATACAAAAATTAGCTGGGTGTGGTGTCTCACACCTGTAGTCCCAGCTACTCAGAAGGCTGAGGCAGAATAATCGCTTGAACCATGGAGGCGGAAGTTGCAGTGAGCCAAGATTGTGCCACTGCACTCCAGCCTGGTGACAGAGCAAGACTCCATCTCAAAAAAATATATATATATTGTATGACACAGTTCTAAGTTTCTACTTCCCTCATCATAATCGTTTTATTATAAACATGAACTTTATTGATCCCTCCTAGAGCCATAATGACTGGGCTAAGTGAATATTTATAACAAAATACTAAATCGTATTTTGTTTTACTTTCACCAATTTTCTTTAAGACATAGTTGACAACATCCAATTACTAATTTCCTTCTAACTTGCACATCTTGTGAATACGATAGAAAGGCAAACTATTTTAAGAATCTGAGAAAATATAAAATGTATTCATAGCTCTTAGAAAGTGATCTTCATTCATTCATTCATTTAAAAAATATGTACTGTCTACTATATGCTCAGCACTGTGCTGGACCCTGGGACACAAAGATGAATGACAGTCTCTGCTTTCAAGGGGCTCAGTATTCAGTGAATCATGTAGATCAGCAAACATGCTCGTAATTATAAGTTGTTTTCACCATTGCCAGGGTAGGAGTGCACAGGGACTATGACCTGGAAGACTCAGGCACGCTGACATATGGAGGAGACACCTTCGGAGAGCTATGACAGTGTGGCTGGCTAAGGTTAGCTTGAGGACCACGACCGTGACCAGGGAGTCTTTAAATTACAGTAAAAAGTAAAGAAGAGGTGATTTAGTCAGGTGATTTAGTCAGATAATATGAACCTTCAAGCAATAAATGCATTTACACAAGCACAGAGGGTTAGTGATTCAGAAGTTACACTGAAAATCACAGTCAATACTAACCCTACCCTGACTGCAATATGTTAACAGAAAAAAATGCCGTCTTCCAGAAAGCTCTACACTTCAGTTAAGGCAAAAGGGTTTAAAAAGATATGTTTCGGGCCGGGAGCAGTGGCTCATGTCTGTAATCCCAGCACTTTGGGAGTCCGAGGCAGACAGATCATGAGGTCAAGAGTTTGAGACCATCTTGGCCAACACAGTGAAACCCCATCTCTACTAAAAACATAAAAATGCCTGTGCCTGTAATCCCAGCTACTTGGGAAGCTGAGACAGGAGAATCGCTTGAACCCAGGAGGCAGAGGTAGCAGTGAGCCGAGGTTGCGCCACTGCACTCCAGCCTGGTGACAGAGCGAGACTCTGTCTCAAACAAACAAACAAAACAAAAAAGGGGATATGTTTCAGATGGAGGGAATCAGAGAAGATTAGGTCATGTAAAAGAAGCAAAACTCAATATGGGATTGAGAGTATGGAGAAGAGTGATTGCATGTTGAGTTTTGATTTGAGATTGCAGAGATAGGATGCATGGCGAGCCTGGATTTCTTGTGAGTTCCAAACAGAGCTGCAGTGAAAAAATGCTCCTGACCAGAGCTTCAAGGTCGCAGTAGAGGCATAAAGATGCTAGCAGTCAGGACTATGGTCTCTCTACACAGAGATTTTGTTTGAATGGAGTTGAAACCCAGATGACACTGGTAATTAATTTTTTCAATTTAAAATTCTAGTAGGTCATAAACAGGAAAGCTCCCTAAGATTTATTTTAATATTTTTTTAAAAACTTATCTACTACAAATATACAGAACAAAGAGATAGCATATTTTTGAAAAGATAAGACATATTAAAAATAGCATCCTTTTGATGCCCTATGTGAGTGATATCCCAAGAGGCAGAATGAATCAAAGGAATCAGAAAGTTCTATAATTGGGGCAGAAGAGAAGGCTGTCAGAAATCCTCTAATTTTAAAGGAAGACATTTCTAGGGGTCATCTTCAGGAACCACTCATTATTCATGCTACACCTTTATCCCTGCCTCTGACAATCCCAGTGCTGAGCCTGCAGGCAACCTTGCTACCGAAGGCAGACAAGGAAGGCCTTGAACGACTTCTGAGGAGTCTGTCTGGATGCATGGAGGAATTCCTGATGTGGGTCTTGGTAACACTGGGTTGAGTTCGGGTTTAATAGAAATGTAAGCCAGTACACACGGGGTTAATGAGCAGTACCTGTTCTGGTTGCTCAGGACCCATGCTGTACCTGATGTTAAAATATATTGAATATCTCTCCTGATATATACATCTGGAAAAAATAGTTTATATATAATCCCATATAAAGATAGAAGATTTGACAAATTTCCTTTGAATCCTAGAATTTTTGATAGGCCAAGGCAATTGAAATCTTTTATCTGGCTTCAAGTTAAGTATATTAAGAGATCACTTGCAGAGTAGTTTAAACTCGGCCCTCAGCTTTAGTTATTAATTCCGTTTATCCAAGTGCTCATTCTTTCTTTTAGCATGTGAATTCCTTGGTGGAAGGTTTGCTCTCTTCTTCGGTCTTACTCAACCTAAATATCAGTATGTGTTAAATGAGTACTACAGGATACAAAACAAGGTATGTGACCCTCTGATGGGGACAAGGGGCCTGAGATAGGAATATTGGTTGCTCCAACTTTAGGTCAGTATAGAAAATTATTTTTTCCAGTGGTAATCATGTACTACAATTTCACCAAACTCCCATAGTCAGCCTGACTTATTTTTCTAGTTCTTCTCACCTCGGGACACTTCTTCATATTTGCCTCACTCCCGTGAAGTTAGGGTGTCATGAGCTGTGTTGTATAAGAAGGTAGTTGGGGATGAAGGCTGAGATTGCTTAAAGTAGAAGCTTCTTACATGGGCATCTGCACAATAAGGGGGTTCAGAGGTCTTTGTTTGTACAAACATTTCCTTATTTCTCTCCAAATCAGAAACGTGACAACAAAAGTGAAGGGAATGGATCAAAGGCCCAGGCAGCTGAGGTTCCTAATGAAAAGTGTCATTTGGAGGCTGGGGACCGAGAGTATGGGACCATACAACAGGATGCAGCAGAAGCCATTCCTCAGTGAAGCATGTCATCCAGGGAGGGTCTGGTGGCAGAGCCCAGCTCAGGATGGCAGCAAAGACTATAGTTTCCCTGGATCTCTGTTCCTTGGCCATTGGTTACCATAGCAACAGCACCACAGGTAGCACTTCTGAACCAGATCTGATCCTAATCTCCATGTGACTTAGTCTCAAGCATCCAGGAATTACAAGCAATAATGAGTGTAATTTTGGACACTTTCTCAGTATAATTTTTATGTGCAAGCCAACCCATCTCAACTCCACCCCAGTGATACAAGTCTCATGAGTACTGACATTTGCACAGTAGCATAAATACCTTAAAGGAACTGTGGGACTGGGAGTTTTGGGCTGAAATTCTGTCATGGGACTAGGGTACAGTAAAGAAGCTCTATCCCTGAGAAGAAAATCTGGGCACTGCAAAATCTAAATAACTCCCCGTTCAGGGTTTGCATAGGTGTGTACTTCCAAACAACCATCCTGGCTTAGTTGGGGATCGTTTTACAATGAGTAAACATTGCTAATAGCTCTGTTACAAGTTCATTATCAAGGTCTCTAAGAATTAGGTACGTCCCTCCAAATTAAAATAACCGATGAATAATCTAAGCTCTAGAAAAAATATTTTAATAGATTATTTTCTTATTCATTTGTGAATGGAGCAATTTTCAAAACCTGAAAAGATTGAACATGGAAATCATTGTTAGATAACACAGGGTGTGCTGGCCAGAGTAACTGTGACACATTAATGCTAAAAAACAAAAAACACAGGCCTTGCAGTAATCAGACACAAGCTGCAGTTTCCCTTCTCCCATTTACTAGTTGTGTGATTTGAGGTGTCCAGCGTTCTGAGCTCCAGTTTCCTTTGTAAAATATGGGTGACTTCACTTGCTCCTCATGGGTTATTGTTAAACAGAATTATGAGAAATAATAATTTATTGTTGTTTTCAGCTTTGGAGTGGTTTGTTATGCAGCCATATATAACTGAAATTATGCTCTAAGAGAAGAGGAAGTTGGAATTAATTTAATATGAAATCAAAGACAGAAGTCGGTCTGGAGCATAAGATGTTGTTAGTTAACTATAGTAGGATGAGTAGATAATGTCAAACAAAGAAACCTCCAAAATCTTGGTGTCCCAAAACAACAAATTTTATTTCTCGTGAGAAGTCCACTGTCAGTTTAGGTGGCTTCCCGGACAGGTGTTCTCCATGCGATAGCTCAGTGTTGGATGCTTCTTTGATCTTATGTTTCCTCCATACTGTGATGTGCTCTCGGAGGTGCTGGAAAAGGAACAGCATGGAGAGTTAAGTGCTGGCAATTAATATCTCCACTAAGAATGAATGAATCATGTCACCTCTGTGTATGTTTCTTTCACCAAAACAAGTCACATGGCTATAATTAATTTTACAGGAGTCTGAGCCTTCTAAGATAGCGGAGAAAAGGAAACACTTTCTTCTAATGGCATAGGAGATAAATAACAAGCTCAAGAGTCAATATGATATTGATTTAATCTCAGCTCTGCTGCCCTGTGCCAGTAGCCCTGTGCAAGTTACTCAACTTCTCATGGTTCTCATCTATAAAACAGGTTTGATATAGGAAGCAAATATAATTTAAACCAGCTTTATGCAACAAAAAAAGAATTTTGGGGGAAGTGCACTGAGTTATCAAATGGACCCCAAAGGTAGATTAGTTTCAATAGGATCTGAACAATGTGACAAGCAAGCACCCAACAGGTACTCGGTCCATCTCTCATCCTTCTTCCACATGAGGAAGATGCTCACTCTATAGTTCTTCATAACTCTTCTGTTCAAGTGACTGATACACTAGTCTTTAGGCACCATTTCAAAGTATAGTGGAAATAGAATCTGCTTTGCTCCTTTTTGTCAAGTATCGCCCTCTAATTCAATCAGCTGTGGCCAGGGAGATGGAGCCCCATAGTAGCAACACAGTTATGGGACCTATTTCTGGGTAAGGATGGTTCTCAGGAAAAGGAAATTGAAGTGAGCTAGGTAGGTACCCCATGACTCTTCCATGTTAAAATTGAGGAAAAGTATGTAAAGCATGTGGCTCTAATTAGGTGCTTAAGTCATAGTATCAATTACAATTATTAATATTTATGATTATTTATGATGGTTAATTCTATGTGTCAACTTGACTGGACCACAGGATGCCCAGATTAAACATTACTTCTGGGTGTGTCTGTGGGGGTGTTTCTGGATGACCTTAGCATTTGAATTGTTGGGTTCAGTAGGTGGATTGCCTTCCCACTGAGACTGAGCATCATTCAATCCACTGAGGGCTTAAATAGAACAAAAGGCCAAGAAAGGAGGAGGAATTTGCTCCTTTTTTCTGTCTCACTGCTTGAGCGTGGATATCTCATCTCGTCTTCTCCTGCCCATGGATGGGATTTACTACATTGGCTTCTCTGGTTCTTAGGCCTTTGAACTCAAACTGATTTACATCACTGGCTTTTCTGGGTCTCCCGTTGGCGAATGGCAGATTGTGGGACTTCTCATCCACCATAATCATAATACATTCAATTCCTCATAATAAATCTCATTGTATCTATCTATCCAATTATCTATCTACCTATGTCTCTATACATCTATCCTATTGGTTCTGTTTCACTGGAGAACCCTGACCAGTATAATATTAAATGAGAATCCTGGTTCCATGGATTCTGAATGGCTTGTCCCCACTGAAGAGTCAGTCTTAGTTCTTCACCTGACATATTCTGTTAGTCGAGTTTTAGGGTAAAGTAAATCTGAAGGTTTAATCATTTTGCAGAAGAAGTGACCAAGTCTAGCAGTTAAGCATTGGTTACTTCAGTCTCAGGTGTCCAATCATACTAGAAATCTGTACCTAATTTACTATTTTGCTTAGAATAGCACTAGTAATGCACTGTTTTTGACTTTTCCACTTTTCTAAAATATTATCCACTTCTTGAATACCCACTAATTGATGATTCTCAGGAACTATGCAGGCATTTCCCTTTCAGACACCCCTCTCTCTCACGAGAGAAAGAGGGCTGCTCTCCTTTCTCTTTCTTTCGCCTTTTAAACCTCTGCTCCTGTGGCTCACAAGTGTAATCCCAGCACTTTGGGAGGCCGAGGTGGATCATGAGTTCAGAAGCTCGAGACCAGCCTGGCCAACATGGTGAACTCCCATCTCTACTAAAAATACAAAAATTAGCTGGCCATGGTTGCACATGCCTGTAGTCCCAGCTTCTCAGAAAGCTGAGGCAGGAGAATTGCTTGAACCTGGGAGGCAGAGGTTGCAGTGAGCCAAGATCACACTACTGCATTCCAGCCTGGTGGAGCAAGACTCTGTCTTAAAAAATTTAAAAATAAAATAAAAATAAACCTCTGCTCCTAAATTCAAAAAGAAGAAGAGCTAGGCAAAACAAAGTGTGACATTCAAATTGAAGAAGTGGATTTTTATCTAGCAAATATTAACTCTCAATTTAATTTTATTTTCCACTAAGAGAAAAGATTCTCTTATGGTCAGTGATCATATGCAAATCAATTGAATCTTAAGCAAAATATAGTAACGAAGACAAATGGAACCAATACCCAGATCTTATCCTGTTCCTGCAGGATAACAATAATGTTCCTTTAATATTAATTTGTTTCCTTTAATATTAAAATTAATTCATTTATTTAATATTAGCTGGACATCTATGCACCAGGTTTTTTTTGTTTTAGTTTTTATATAGGTATTATCAACCACACAGACAAAAATCTCTATCTGCTTGTTGTCCTTGAATTCCCAATAGCTAAATTATTAGGACATTCGGTCTTCATATGGCCAGCCTCTTAGATGGTCCTCAATGATCTCCACCACCTGCTATTCATACCTTAAGCAGTTCCTTCTTACACTGCACCAGGGTGATTTATATAACCAATAGAATATGGCAGAAGTAATGATATGCCACTCCAGAGATTTTTTTTTTTCTTGAGACAAAGTCTCACTCTGTTGACCAGGCTGGAGTTCAGTGGCACGATCTTGGCTCGCTGCAACTGCCACCTCCCGGGCTCAAGTGATTGTCCTCCCTCAGCCTAAAAGACATCCTAGTAGCTGGGACTGCAGGTGCCCGCCACTGCATCCTGCTAAATTTTGTATTTTTAGTAGAGATGGGGTTTCACCATATTGGCTAGGCTGATCTTGAAGTCCTGACCTTGTATCTGCCTGCCTCGGCTTCCCAAGTGCTGGGATTACAGGTGTAAGCCACCATGCAAGGCCCAGAGATTGTTATAAAAGATACTATGGCTTCTGTCTTAATCTTTCTCACTACTTTTCTCTTGGATCATTCACTCTGAAGGAAGGCATCTGCCATGTTATGAGGACACTTAGCCAGTGCAGCAGACTGAATATGTTCCCCCGCAAATTCATATGTTGAAACCCTAATCCCAGTGTGATGATTTTGGAGGTGGGGCCTTTGGGAGGTGATTAGGTCATGAGGGTGCAGCCCTCAGGTATGAGATTAGTGCCCTCATAAGAAAGACCAGAGAGCTAATTGGCTGTCTTTCGGCGTGATTATACAAAGAGAAGTCAGTAGTCTGCAACCCAGAAGTGTGCCCTCTCCAGAACCTGATGATGCTGACATTCTTATCTCAGACTTCCAGTCTCCAGAGCTGTGAGAAATAAATTTCTGTTGTTTACAACCTAGTCTACAGTATTCTGTTACAGCAGCCTGAACTGATCAAGACTTGAAGAGTTCCTCGTGCTAAGGAACTTTTGTCTCCAGTGAACAACCTTGGAGGAACTTGAGGCCTGCCTACAAGCACGTGAGCATGCTCAGAAGATTGCCTTCCTCCAGCTGCAGAGGATTGCAGCTCCAGCCAACAGCTTGCTTGCAACCTCATGACAGACCCTGAGCCAGAATCTCCCAGCTAAGCCACTTCTGGATTCCTGACTCATTGAGAATATGAAATAAATGTTTACTGTTTTAAGCTACTAAATTTTATGGTAATTTGTTATAGTGCAATGGATAACTACTGCAGTTTTTATTCATAAATATTCCTAAGGATTCCTAAGGATAAACTAATCCAAGAACTACAATGCACCCGGAAGAAGTACAGGAATTTTACCTTACTCCCTCAAGGCTAGATGGAACTTACTGAGCTGTATCAGATATACTTCCTGCCCTACTGTGCTGGGGCCTAACTAGGCCGTCATCACCTGCAAGTTGAATCTGGCTATTCCATTTGCCATCACTGCCAGTTCCGATATTTGCCACCTGCTGATTCACCCAAAGGGGTTTTCAATGTCCCAGGGAAAGCACTTCTCTGAAATATTAGTCATGAGCACCCCAAAGCAAAAAAGTTTAGGTTCCCAGAAAGTACAGCTTTTTAGCAATCAGCTCTTTTACTCAGCTATCCATAACCATTTTCCCCAAAGCACAATCACAATGTCAAGTTGACTCAGTAGGAAGATGTATTAGTTCATTCTTGCACTGCTATTAAGAAATACCTGAGATTGAGTAATTTATAAAGAAAGGAAGTTTAATTGGCTCATCATTCTGCAGGCTGCACAGAAAGCATGGCAGCATCTGCTTGACATCAGTCATGGTCGAAGGCAAAGGGGAAGCTGGCACTTCACCTGGCCAGAGCAGGAGGAAGAGAGAGGTGGAAGGTGCTACACACTTTCAAACAAGCAGATCTCGTAAGAACGCTATCATGACAATAACACTAAGGGGATGGTGCTAAACCATCAGAAGCCTCCCCAGTGATCCAATCACCTCCCACCAGGCCCCATTTCCAACACTGGGGATTACAACGGAACATGAGATTTGGGTGGGGACAACTGTATCAGAAGGGTTTCCACCATTGGCCATGCCCTATAATCAGAACCAATGTTCTTCACCAACAATCCAGACACTGGTGCAGTACTTGTCAGGCGTCCAGACCACCCCCTGTTTTACAGTAGGTTTCCTCTTGAGCCTTTTTTATCTTTTCATGCCGCCTAGTCTTGGTCAGTGTCATCTCAGCCCATCTTAACTCATTTTTCTCCCCTTGAACCTGAGAGGAGTTGCAGTCCTAGTCCTATTCCTCCCAGAAAGCATCTCTGCCACTTGTAAATTTATGAATGCCAAACAATATGTCTAGAAAAGATATTGTCCTGTTCTATCTGGCAGCTTCCAAGATTCAGTGATATATTGGGAAAGGGGTAACTCTCTTCCTCTTCCAATAACATGAAAGCCCTAGACTCCTGCCAAGCCAAAAATATTCCTGATTAAACAAATTATGTAGCAGAAAGTCTCTGAATTAATGAACTAAATTTGAATGATTATCTGGTTCTTTACGTTTTTAGTTATTTACTATGACCATACTTCATTGTATGTAATGTGGGTCAATGAAAGTTCATTTTATTATTTCTCTTTCTAATGATGGAGTCATATAAACCTTAACCTTCAGAGTGGAAATTCAGGGAGTCTCAAGTGATTAGAGAGGCTCTTTAGCAAATGCACACAGGCAACCACCCCTTTATCTTCAGACATAAATTATTCAAATGTCATTCCCTGAATGGACAGAACTGCCAAGAATCGTTTGGATCTTTTTCATCTTTGTTGGTGAGGTGGTCCTTCACTTATCCCTAAAATGTTTCTATCCTCTGCCAAATTGCACCACCGTCAACTGCAAGATGTAATTATTTTCTCTACCTACAGCAAAATGAAGCCAAGCATACCTTGAACGATTTTCATTCTCAGGTACTTATATAGGTTTGCCAAGAGCCGGGAAACACCGTGGTCAGCTTTTCAGGCAAAAGCGGTGAAAGCTCTTTAGGGAAAATTCCTGTCAGTTTTCATTTAAACTGGGAACAAGAGGAGAGCAGCATAGCTCTAGCAGTCTGAATTTATTGGGTGAGGAGGAAGTATTTTTTTTATTGCATTTTAGGTTTGGGGGTACATGTGCAGAACATGCAAGAAGGTTGCATAGGTACACACATGGCAGTGTGTTTTGCTGCCTGAGGAGGAAATGGGAAAAAGTAAATGAAGGGGCCCCCAACAAATTACTCAAAAGGACTTAGATATTATTTTCTTGGAACATTGACTTTATCTGTCATCTTCAAGCCTGCCCTCAGGCTGACTGGCTGTATAAATCAAGATAAAGAGGCAGAAACAAAATTATCTTCAGAATTGAATGAATTTCTGTAGAAAATGTGTCCTAAGATAAGCATTTTATGATGGTCTTTGGTGTCTTGGGGAAAACATTCGTTTCAGTGACAGAGCACGATGACCCCAAGAGCAAGACAGCTCCCGGGAATGTGGTGATAGTGAGAGGACCTACTTCTCTTCAAACTGTAGGAAGGTAGTTCTTCAAATCTTATTTATAAAATTATTAATGACAATGTTAAGGGACTGATCAAAATGTCAACTTTTCCTCATTGGCTGATATGATGGCTAGTTTCCTATGTCAATTTGGCTAGGCTCTAGTACCCAGTAACTTAATGAAACATTAATCTAGGTGTAGAGGTATTTCACAGTTAACATCTGCAGTCAGTTGACTTTGAATAAAGGAGATGATGCTAGATAATGTGGGTGGGGCCCCATCCAGGTAGTTGAAGGCCTTTAAGAGCAAAACCAAGGTTTTCTGAAGAGAAAGAAATTCTGCCTCAAGACTATAGCATCAGCTGGGCATGATGGCTCACAACTGTAATCTCAGTGCTTTGGGAGGCCAAGGCGGGAGGATTGGTTGAGCCCAGGAGTTTGAGATTAGCCTAGGCAACACAGCGAGACCCCATCTCTACAGTCAGAAACTAGCCTCGCGTGGTGGCAGGAACCTGTAGTCCCATCTGCTCAGGAGGCTGAGATGGGAGGATTGCTGGAGCCCAGGAGATTGAGGCTGCAGTGAGCCATGATGGTGCCACTGCACTACAGCCAGGGTGATAGAATAAAACCCTGTCTCAACAAAAACAAAAACAAACAAACAAAAATCCCCGCATCCTCAAGTCTTATATGAGTTTCCAGCCTGCTGGCCTACCCTATGGATTTCAGACTTGCCAGCCCCCATAAGTACGTAAGCCAATCCCTTGAAATAAATCTCTTTGATTCTGTTTCTCTTGAGAAAGCCGATAAAGCTGGTATCCAACACGCATTTAGGAAGTCACCACTACCCTATTTATTAACTATTACGTGGGCCAGTAGCCATGATGGAGTGTGCAGGGCAGCTGCTGTCTTCTCTGCTTCATCTTAGTTCACACAGTCCAGATTTAAACATGTTTACACTCTTACATTCTTATGCAAAAACCTTTCAAATGACGTTTAACGTCCTAACATTTACGAAGAGGTACCTGGGCCTGTGTTCACTCTTTTTACAAATTAACTGCAATCACATAGAAATGCGTAACTAAGAACTGAAACCTTTCTGTCCAGCTGGCCTTGGGACAGCGAGTGGATAAAAGACAGGCCCAGCAGTTCCCACCAGAGGCGGAACGTGAATGCCTGGAATCTGAGAAGGGAACTTGGAGATTAAAAGAAAAGCATAGGGAGCATTCAAGAGCCAAGAAACCTAGATTTTAACTCCAGGGGCTGTAGTCATTAGAGCCATATACAGGCCAAGCATCAGGCTTGCCCTCAAAGTGAGGATAATAAAAAACCAATGTCCCTAAGAAAGGTAAGAATTAATTGAGCTCCCATGTGAGAAAGCACTGGTCTAAGCTCTATTCCAATGGGACATCAGTGTTACCTTACCTCCTTTGGTCTCATCAACCCCGTTAATAATATCTAGAAATAGAAAACTGGACAATGAGAACACGTGCTAAAGATCATTCCTATGCCCTTCTCTGCTTTAATTACCACAGGAGATGTGATTTTATGGAAAATGAAATATGTTATATGCACCCCCTCCACCCCATGTTTATACACAGTTATAAATGGTTCAATTTAGTCCCTATCTACTGAGACATGTCATTGTGTGGGAAACGTGTAATAATATACTCTTCACGATAGGCCAGGCATGGTGGCACACCCCTGTAATCCCAGAACTTTGGGAGGCCAAGGCAGGCAGATCACGAGGTTAGGAGTTCGAGACCAGCCTGGCCAACATAGTGAAACCTGTCTCTACTAAAAATACAAAAAAATATTGGCCAGGTATGGCGGCAGGCACCTGTAATCCCAGCTACTCAGGAGACTGAGGCTAGGAGAATCGCTTGAACTGGGAGGTGGAGGTTGCAGTGAGCCTAGATTGAGTCACTGCGCTCCAGCCCGGGTGACAGTGTAAAACTCCATCTCAAAAATAATAATATACTCTTCACCATATAATAAGCTCTTTGCCAACCTTAGGGGTTTGAGGGAACTTCTTGCTGGGGGTAGAAGTGAGGGAAGAGGGAAGGATGGGGCAAATGGAGTCTTAAACCCTTTGGCTGATAGTAGTTTAGGAAAGAGACACCTATCATCATCTTCATAGCAATTAGAAAATTAGAGAGGTGGGAAGAATGCTGGATAATGAGTCATGAAAATTAGATTCTAGTCCTGACTCTGCCACTAAAAAGTTATACAACTTCAGAAAAATTTACTATCTCTGGGCTTGGTTTTCTAATCTATGAAATGAAGGGGGTTTGAACTAAATTAGCTTTACCTGAAGTAGGTTCTTCTGAATATTAGTAAATTTTTTTTTTTTTTGAGACAGGGCCTTGCTTTGTTGCCAAGGCTGGAGTGCGGTCGCACAAAAATGGCTCACTGCAGCCTCCAGCTCGTAGGCTCAGGCCATCCTCCCACCTTGGCTTCCAAGTAGCTGGAACTGCAGGTGCACCATGCCCCTAGAATTTTTTTTTTTTTTTTGAGTTGGGATTTTGCCATGTTGCCCAGGCTGGTCTTGAACTCCTGGGCTCAAGTGATCCACCTGCCTTGGCCTCCCAAAGTACTTGGATTACAGACGTGAGCCATTGCAGCAGCCAGGTAAGTTTTATATAAAAATTAGGATCTGATAAACTTTATTTTTGGGAGGAATTTGGTTAAGCA